AACCTGAGCTGTGGTTGCTCGACACTGTGATGATCTCGGTGGCGTAAACTTGGGCTGGGAGCTTGGCAGAACACGCATCAGCATCCGCTCCCCGACGCTGATGGACTGGCGTTTCCCTGCTGCTGACCCCGTTGCCTTGCTGCTTTTCTCGGACAGTCGCGGACGAAGTGCTTCGTGGACCCGCACCCGTAACAAGCTCCTCTGGAGGGCTGTTGTTTTCGGGCTAGGATATCTGCCACCTTCTCCGCCAGACGGTCGAGTTGCTCCCCCGTGAGCATCAGCGGCGGCGTCGTCTCTTGGTGAACAGCTGCCGTTACTGCGTTGACCTGGATAGTCCTGTTAGCTGCTGCCGTGGCTACGACTGGGGACTCTGTTGTCCCGTCCAGCCTTTTAACAGCTTTCAGGACGTCCTCCACCTTCGGACTGGCTTCCCCTGCGAAACCAAATGTACCGCGAAGTTCGAGCGCCAGAAGAGGTGAAACCCCCTTGCAGAAAGTGTGATACACCTTCTTCTGGGCATCGGCCTCAGTAAAGATACGCTGCTGGTTTAGCTTCGTCATCTCTGACCACAGTCGGCAGAGAAATTCCGACGCTGACTCCCTTGGATGTGGAGTGAGTCGGCTGAACTGCAGATACCTGTCTTCGGCACATCTGGTGTCGCCAAAAGTGCTTTGTAGGAGGCATAGCACTTCCTCTGGACTCGCAGCTTGCTTCACCCGCTCATAGGCAATCCCTCTCAGGCTGCCTAAGACGGGTGGCAACGGGTTCGGAACGCTGGTGTTCCGCAGCAAACACTGTACTTGGGTTTCCCATTCCGGGAAATTCACCTCCCCTCCTCCAGTGGGTGGAAGGCCGGTGAACACACTCAGCTTGCTGTTGTGTGCTGGAGCACACACCTCCACCTTCACGGGCCGCTGCGCATCTGCCTGCATCGCCGCCATCTTAGCCGTCAACTTGGCCAGCTCCTGCGACAACTTCTCCAACGTCGGGTCGCTGTTTTCCATTCTTACCTCTCAAAGTCAAGCCCCACGTTGGGCGCCAAATGTAACCCTCACTCAGTGGGGATGCTTTTACCCACTGAGGTGTTGTGGTTTAAGACGGGCTGACCCTGAGATTAAGTAGACACCGACGCCGACAGTTGTTGTCAAGTACTCGTTTATTTATAGCATCGAGCCATGACGGCGATGCAACACAGTAGTACAAAAGACCAAAATAGAAAAAGAACTGTAGCCCTAAAACAAATGTAAAATAAAAAAGTTACATTCAGGACAACACCACGTGTAAGCTACAATATACACGGGTACAATAAATTATGTTTTCGGCCAGTACACAGTACTGCCAACAAGTACCAATAAGTAGTACTACAAAATAAATACTTAATTTAATACATCACCCTAACTAGTGTGCACATGCAGCACTAGCAGGAATACATAAGTAAGTATTTTAACAAACATAATTTAAATATCTACACTACCTTCATTAGGTCTACATCTTGGTCCACAGACAGCAGCCTTGCGTGTGCGACACGACTAGGCACATGTCACATGACATGGAACACAGGTAATTTCGCTCACAAAAGCATAAAAAAACGTCAACAGTTCAGTTGCAGTCCCACAGGGGCCGCAACCCAATGAATAAAAACTTCATATTTTTATCCCCCTTTTGGCTAGTAACCATATGTGTTACACAATAGTAATATAACTTTTACTTCGGGACGTTTTCTTTAACTTGCTTTCTCTGTGTCTGTCTGTGTTTCTGTGTTTGTCTTTCCAATCAAATCTTGCGATCGAAATTTCTGGCACTTCCCAGTTAGCTAGCGCGCTGAAATTTTCAGGGAAGCTTTCTTTTGGATGACCATTGAATATTCAATTGTTATTATTACTAAATTGATCAATGGAAACATTTTATTGAGCATTTTAGACCGCTATATAATCTATATATATAATTCTCCTCTGCGAGCCATTAGAAAAAAAACGAGCGACGCGTACCTCGCGCGCAGTGAAGCGAACGATCCAACGTAGCGACAGGCTTAGGGGCAGATAATTTCACACAACGTGTTTTTTACGAGTTGTCTTTTTACGAGTTGTCTTTTTACGAGTTGTCTTCGTTTACCCAACAAAAAAGTGAAAAGATAAAATCGATAGCAAGATTTGAATGCAAACAAACAGACAAAGACTAAAAAGTAGAAAATAATAATCATTAAAAAAGTTTTAAAAAACCCACGTTTTCTGATTGAACTAAAAAGTAGAAAATAAATGCTATACATCACAATAATGCAAGCGATCACTCTACTATAAGCGATCAAAAACGTGGGGCGCCGTGATTTTCTTAAAGTTTCTAATACTGTTGACTCTCTACAAGCTCCCTAATAAAAGTCAATAGTATTATCTAATCAATAGTAATATAACTTTGACTTCGGACACTGATAAAAGTATATATTTTCTATATAAATTATATTTTGTTCAAGGGGGGGGGGGAGGTGACACCATGAAGTGCCGCACCGGGTGACACCCTACCTAGCGACGCCACTGAGATATTATTATACTGGCCAACTTGCAGACTGTCAAGCGATGTTGACAGTTTTGGTTTCGCGATGTCTGATTGGCTGAGGGAGTTTACAGCCGGAAGTGAACACAGTTCGCTTGGATTCGTTACCACTTTGTTCGTCAGGGTATCCACAGCTGATGCTGGGGATTTTAGGAACATTTTTGTTTTATCAGGGGATACTTGAGCGTTGTTGTCACTGCGTATTGTACAGGCGTAGGAAGCTTTTTCAATTGCTGACTTGCATGTTGATGGTGTGCGGTTTTTAAAAATCGATATGGCGGGCATTTAGTCTGCTTTAGAAGCTTGGTCGTTAGTAGAGGCGTAAAGGTTCATCGCTTGTAATGAGTAATGATGCTTAAAGAAGGCTACCAAAGCAAAGTGATCTAATTTGCCGCAAAAAAATAAAAAAAATTAGACCAATTACCTCAACAATATCTGCATTAAGAGCTGATATCTGTCTTTGCAGAGAGTGGGGTTCTCTCGACTGAATTTGGTTAGTCTTAAAATTTATGAATTTGGCTTGGAGCCAACTGATGGGTGCTTGAAATCCCTTTCACTTTAGTTGGCGGTGATGGCGTCACACATCGTCAACAGACATTACACGATGACAGGTTGTGAGGGTATCTCAGTTCTTTCCAAACGTAAATTAAAAGTAGGGCCTACATCTTTGTGGCGTTCGGCTCTCGTGATGTCACAGGCCGTGTTGAGATTTAGGGGTCATCCATTTATGACATCCACAAAAATTTGGAATTTTTTAGCCCCCCCCCTCCCCTCTCCTCGACCACACGAGTCTAGTTTCGACCCCCCCCCCCCTCCCATTGTGGACGACATAAATGGATGACCTCTTATATGTTTTGAACGCGTGACAGCCATTTTTGTCATCTAACTGCACGCTCTAACGAAGTATAAATAGAGTTTATGGGAGGAGAGGAAAATACTTTGATTCTTGAGATCAAATCCTAGTAGACATTGTAATCTTTGCGGTGTTAATTTATGATGATAAAACAACACAGCAAAGATTTGAACAAAAAAATAATATTTTATTCACTTTCGCCCTGCTTGGTATCCAAATAACACATTTACACAGTTTACAAATAACAATTTTACTTAGTATTATTGCCGGAGTTGTCTCTCCTAATGTATTTGTTATACTACAAAATTTACAAGTTTACGGTGTGTATTAAGGGAGGGGGAACGGAGGGTTATGCGTTTCCGAAAGAAATGTTATGCGTTTCAGAATTGGTCTTTCACATTTCTTATGACGACAGGAAAGAGTTGAGTTTTTTTTTGTAATACCAAATGGCGTGACATACTGTCATTGTTTGTGATCCCACCCCCACCTCGAGAGTACGTCCCACAATTTAGCATTATTAAATTTCACAAAATACGACTGCTTTACAGCAACGTGAAATCTGTTCTCCTCTCTGTTTCTGAGACGTGGAGGGCAACACAGACTTATCGTAATAACAACAACAGTGTTTCTTCCAGACTTTTTTCTCCGGGGGGGGGGGGGGGGGCTTTTGAAATTTTCGGGGGGGGGGATTGGGCGGACTAGTAAATGTGTATGTTTACTATATAAAATCCATCTCGTTCGGGGGGGGGGGTGGTAGACTTTTTTCGGGGGGTGGGCAAACCCCCCCCCCCCCCCCCCACCGAAGAGATGCCTGGAAGAAACTCTGAACAACAAACTTCAGACTTTCATTAACGAATGCCTGCGTCACATATTGAACATCAGATGGCCTGAAGAAATTACCAATGTCGAGCTTAGGAGAAAAACTGGTGGGCAAGAACCGATTGGCAAAGAAATACAAAACCGCAAATTGGGATGGATTGGACACACCTTGCCTAAAACCAACTAGCAACATCACCAGACAGGCACTAGATTGGAATATCCAATGAAAAATGAAAGTAGGTAGGCCAAAACTAACTTAGAAAATGTCAGCTGTCGGAGAAGCAGAGGCAGCCGGAATGTCGTGGACCCAGCTTGGAGGAATCGACCAGAACCGAGTGCAATGGAGAGGTGGCGTCAGAGGCATAGCGACCCCTCCCGGCGCCCGGGGAAACCTTTTAATTTGGCGCCCCCCCATGTATTTTTATATTTATAATTCAAAATAGCAGCTAAAATGAGCTTATTTTGGCGTCCCTAGGGTCGGAGCCCGGGGACATATGTACCCCCCACCCCGTCGCTACGACTCTGGGTGGGGTTGCGTCTCTATCCTCCACAAGGGATCCACGGGAATGATAATGATGATGATGAACATTAGGGAACATTAGGGAAAAGGGTAATTTTTTAAAAAGAATGATTTCTACTGCCGTGTTTATTTTTAAGATATCACGTGGAGTTAAAGATTACAGCTAAATCATTTTAAAAGAAGGTTTATTTTTCTTCTTGAAATTTTTTAACTTCGTTTTAAACTTGTGCACCTTTATGCACGATTCATAACATCATTGCACACCAAATGTCTGATCGACTAATGAGGAACGATGAAGCCAAACACTTCCAGACATGTTTGTTAAAATAGGACATTTATGCATGTAGTTTGTTTACATTCTGGCCGGAAGTTCAAGATCCTGGTGGGGTGAGCAGAACACAGCCTTAGGTTGATTTCTATTTTGGCTATAGGACATACCTTCTGCTATTATTTAACGTTTACGCAATTGAAATGTAGACTGGGTACACACGAAGCTATTGTTAAGGCTTTTTGGTCAGTAGTTATTAGATCTATATTAAATCACACATTTAGTTGTTAAATAGACCATCTACTTTTAAAAAATGAATGAAAATTTACAATTTTTTGTGTGGTGTGTTTTGAAGTTAACAAACTTTGATTAACCTTTAAATAAATTGAATTATTATACAGTGAACATATATCTGGGAAGGGGAAGTAAGTGGGGTAAGAACGAAATCATCTGTTTGGGAAGGGGGTTCGGTACGCATAACTGATTATAAATCTAGTTGGCCTACATCAAGTATAATTAGAGCTGATTTTGAAAACTGATGGGGACGGTGGAGAAGGGGGGGGGGGGGTGTCTTAAACCAAAGGTAGGCGATTTGGTGTATGTTAGTTCTTACCTTAACGTAATCTACATCCTGTTTCCATTACAGACCAATCAAATGGCCGCTATACCTATAAATGCAGTGTTGTTGCATTGTTGCCGACCTTAGGGGGCGCTGAAATGGGTTGGAAAAATAAATTGAAAGGTTGAGGGTGGTGCAAATCGAAAGTTTGGGGGGGGGTGCAAATCGAAAAGTTTTTCCCCGGGCGCCGGGTAGCGTCGCTACGTCTCTGAAGTCGAGTGAAACATTGGACAAGTTGCCTTGTCGTCATCATTCATCGGTGTTAGTGTTTCCATTCAGGCATCTTATCCGAGGGGGGGGGGGGGGGGGGTCACACCCACCTCTTTACCAGTACAAAATAAAATAATTAGCATAATATATACTTTCAGCATTGTTTCCCACTCTCCCTTAAGTTTCAAGTGTACCCCATCCCCGGAGCTAAACGTCCGAAAAAAACCAGTTCTGAGTTATAACAACTGCTGGGTACGCAAATCCGCTTAGTTATTGCCTCAACCAACTCTACAATATACTTTCTGTCTACACTGTTCTTTGAGTCTTCATTTTATTTTGAGCTGCCCTTCGAACAGTCAACTTGAGTCTATGTCTTTCAGAAGTTGGGCCAATATAAAAACGTTGGTGTACCAATTGAGTGACTCTCATTAATTACATTTAATTTAAAAACAAACGTGGTCGAGTCGGTAAAACTATGGTTGTTCTAGAGAAACGTCTCGAGCTTGAACCCCGCAGGCAGATGAGGCTCAGTAGCTAGGGACAGCAACTCTTGTAGGAGAGACAACTCCAAAATCAAACAACTGCTTCCTCGTAGTTTGTTCTTGGTTGGGCAAAGGCTATAGGGGGTCGTCCATAAATGACGTCACACTCATAGGGGGAAGGAGGGGGGGTCCGTAATTTTGTGACGGTGTGTGATGAGGGGGGGGGGGTCAGATGGTGTGACGCCACACTTTTGCATAATAAAAAAGTAATGTTAGAAAGCGAATTTTAGCGTTTTAGAAAACGGTTTTAATAAATTGTAATAGGAATTGATTAAAATACTCTGTTGACAAAGTTCAGACAAGATTTTGGAAAAAATATCGTGTGTTAAGAAAAATTCAACTGCAATTGTGAAGTGAGTTGTAGGCTGAGGAGTGACGTTATTTTGTGTGTGTGTGGGGGGGGGGGGGCATATCTGGCTTTTTTTGAAGATGTGTGACGGAAGGGAGGGGGGAGGTAAACATCGTCAAAAAAGCGTGACGTCATTTATGGATGATACCATATATAGGTAAATCCAAATAAAGGCTGAAATCGGAGTCAACGGCCTATATGACGTATAACAAGTTCACATAATCGTGGTTAGAAAATAACGTGTGACTTATATGACCAATCTGTAGGATGTTTGGCGACACAATCAGACGCGAAAGAATGGAGGCAAGTACGGTATACGCTGGTCGTTTTCTGTCGATCTAGCTGAGCAGGAGCGGAAGTTGAGGCTGGCTGAATCAAAGGTGCTGTCTGAGGGGGCCACAGGGGACGCCAAGTACTTTAAGCTTGGGTGAGGTTCAAAACTCTTTCATATAGTCAGGCAGTCTAGCACTTTGTATGATGTGAGATAGGCAGTCTAGCACTTTGTATGATGTAAGATAGGCAGTCTAGCACTTTGTATGATGTGAGACAGACAAGTACTTTGTATGATTTGAGACAGCCAAGTACTTTGTATGATTTGAGACAGTCAAGTACTTTGTATGATGTGAGATAGGCAGGAAGTCTAGTACTTTGTATGATGTTAGATAGTCAAGCAGTCTAGCACTTTGTATGATTTGAGATAGGCAGTCTAGCACTTTGTATGATGTAAGATAGGCAGTCTAGCACTTTGTATGATGTGAGATAGGCAGTCTAGCACTTTGTATGATGTGAGATAGTCAAGCAGTCTAGCACTTTGTATGATGTGAGATAGGCAGTCTAGCACTTTGTATGATGTGAGATAGTCAAGCAGTCTAGCACTTTGTATGATGTGAGATAGGCAGTCTAGCACTTTGTATGATGTGAGATAGTCAAGCAGTCTAGCACTTTGTATGATGTGAGATAGGCAGTCTAGCACTTTGTATGATGTGAGATATTCAGGAAGTCAAGCACTTTGTATGATGTGAGACATTCAAGTACTTTGTATGATTTGAGATAGTCAGGCAGTCTAGCACTTTGTATGATGTGAGATAGTCAAGCAGTCAAGTACTTTGTATGATGTGAGATAGTCAAGCAGTCAAGTACTTTGTATGATGTGAGATAGTCAAGCAGTCAAGTACTTTGTATGATGTGAGATAGGCAGTCTAGTACTTTGTATGATGTGAGATAATCAGGCAGTCTAGCACTTTGTATGATGTGAGATAGTCAAGCAGTCAAGCACTTTGTATGATGTGAGATAGGCAGTCTAGCACTTTGTATGATGTGAGATAGTCAAGCAGTCTAGCACTTTGTATGATGTGAGATAGGCAAGCCGTCTAGCACTTTGTATGATGTGAGATAGGCAGTCAAGTACTTTGTATGATGTGAGATAGTCAGGCAGTCAAGCACTTTGTATGATGTGAGACAGTCTAGCACTTTGTATGATGTGAGACAGTCTAGCACTTTGTATGATGTGAGACAGTCAAGTACTTTGTATGATGTGAGATAGTCAAGCAGTCAAGCACTTTGTATGATGTGAGATAGGCAGTCAAGTACTTTGTATGATGTGAGATAGTCAAGCAGTCAAGCACTTTGTATGATGTGAGATAGGCAGTCAAGTACTTTGTATGATGTGAGATAGGCAGTCAAGTACTTTGTATGATGTGAGATAGTCAAGCAGTCAAGCACTTTGTATGATGTGAGATAAGCAGTCAAGTACTTTGTATGATGTGAGATAGGCAGGCAGTCAAGTACTTTGTATGATGTGCGATAAGCAGTCAAGCACTTTGTATGATGTGGGATAGGCCTTCTAGCACTTTGTATGATGTGAGATAGTCAGGTTGTCTAGCACTTTGTATGATGTTAGATAGTCAGACAGTCTAGCACTTTGTATGATGTGAGATAGGCAGTCTAGCACTTTGTATGATGTTAGATAGTCAGGCAGTCAAGCACTTTGTATGATGTGAGATAGTCAGGTTGTCTAGCACTTTGTATGATGTGAGATAGACAGGCAGTCTAGCACTTTGTATGATGTTAGATAGTAAGGCAGTCTAGCACTTTGTATGATGTGAGATAGGCAGTCTAGCACTTTGTATGATGTGAGACAGTCAAGTACTTTGTATGATGTTAGATAGTCAGGTAGTCTAGCACTTTGTATGATGTGAGATAGGCAGTCTAGCACTTTGTATGATGTGAGATAGTCAGGTTGTCTAGCACTTTGTATGATGTTAGATAGTCAAGCCGTCTAGCACTTTGTATGATGTGAGATAGTCAGGTTGTCTAGCACTTTGTATGATGTGAGATAGTCAGGCAGTCTAGCACTTTGTATGATGTGAGATAGGCAGTCTAGCACTTTGTATGATGTGAAATAGTCAGGCAGTCTAGCACTTTGTATGATGTGAGATAGGCAGGCAGTCTAGCACTTTGTATGATGTGAGATAGGCAGTATAGCACTTTGTATGATGTGAGATAGTCAAGCAGTCAAGCACTTTGTATGATGTGAGATAGTCAAGCAGTCAAGCACTTTGTATGATGTGAGATAGTCAAGCAGTCAAGCACTTTGTATGATGTGAGACAGTCTAGCACTTTGTATGATGTGAGATAGCCAAGCACTTTGTATGATGTGAGATAGACAGTCTAGCACTTTGTATGATGTGAGATAGTCAGGCAGTCTAGCACTTTGTATGATGTGAGATAGGCAGTCTAGCACTTTGTATGATGTGAGATAGGCAGTCTAGCACTTTGTATGATGTGAGATAGACAGGCAGTCTAGCACTTTGTATGATGTGAGATAGGCAGTCTAGCACTTTGTATGATGTGAGATAGGCAGTCTAGCACTTTGTATGATGTGAGATAGGCAGTCTAGCACTTTGTATGATGTGAGATAGTCAGACAGTCTAACACTTTGTATGATGTGAGATAGTCAGGTTGTCTAGCACTTTGTATGATGTGAGATAGTCAGGTTGTCTAGCACTTTGTATGATGTGAGATAGTCAGACAGTCTAGCACTTTGTATGCTGTGAGATAGGCAGTCTAGCACTTTGTATGATGTTAGATAGTCAAGCAGTCAAGCACTTTGTATGATGTGAGATAGTCAGGTTGTCTAGCACTTTGTATGATGTGAGATAGGCAGGCAGTCTAGCACTCTGTATGATGTGAGATAGTCAGGTTGTCTAGCACTTTGTATGATGTGAGATAGTCAGGTTGTCTAGCACTTTGTATGCTGTGAGATACGCAGTCTAGCACTTTGTATGATGTGAGATAGTCAGGTTGTCTAGCACTTTGTATGATGTGAGATAGGCAGGTTGTCTAGCACTTTGTATGCTGTGAGATAGGCAGTCTAGCACTTTGTTTGATGTGAGACAGTCAAGTACTTTGTATGATGTTAGATAGTCAGGCAGTCTAGCACTTTGTATGATGTGAGATAGGCAGTCTAGCACTTTGTATGATGTGAGATAGTCAAGCAGTCTAGCACTTTGTATGATGTGAGATAGGCAGTCTAGCACTTTGTATGATGTGAGATAGGCAGTCTAGCACTTTGTATGATCTGATATAGTCAGGCAGTCTAGCACTTTGTATGATGTGAGATAGTCAAGCAGTCAAGCACTTTGTATGATGTGATACAGTATAGCACTTTGTATGATGTGAGATAGGCAGTCTAGCACTTTGTATGATCTGATATAGTCAGGCAGTCTAGCACTTTGTATGATGTGAGATAGGCAGTCAAGTACTTTGTATGATGTGAGATAGTCAAGCAGTCAAGCACTTTGTATGATGTGACATAATCAGGCAGCTTTACTTATTTCAAATTAGTAATGTTTTGGTGTCACCCCTCTCCCTGTTGCCTTTTGGATAGTTTCAGTCTGCTTTTAATGGTGTAGGCTATTAACCTATTACCAGTTATTAATGTAATTAGAGAGGAACAAGGTTTAATCAGAATATTTTTCCTTTGATTTCACCTCCTAACCCTGTTCGGCTGTATAATCAGCGCCCCTCCTCCCTGTCTGTAATATTATTGATCTCCTTGGATAAACATGTTATACTAGGGTTACTATGTCTCACCAGGCTGATGTAGTTATATATTAGATGGGTTAATGATTGGTTGATGTTGACATGGACCCACGTCTGAACCGCTTTTATTTTTTAGTGCTTTGATAGAAAAAGAATCGCTCAACGCTTTGAGATGCGAACCCACGCCTTACCAATCTGACGAGATCAGTTTAGTGGATCCAGTTCCGTTATTTCTAAATGTTGACAGGTAGTGCAGATGTGTCATAGACTTGTACTTTTTATTAGAAACTTCTTAGCATTAGATTATTGACTTAGTCCTCTTTGCTCCTTATGGCTATTAATTTTGCCATCTCCCAAGACATCCCTGTTGGCTTCAGTTCTTCTAGAAGACTCCGCCTCCAGGTCTGTCTTGGGCGCCCTCTCTTCCGCTTTCCCTGGGGGGTTCCACTCAAGCGCTTGGTGTGTCACATTTGGGTGAGCCTTTCATAGCGTGTGTCCCACCCAGCGCCACTTCCTCCATTTTATTTGCAATGCCATAGGCTTCGGCATTGCTTTTCTCCATAATTCTATGTTCGGCACTTTGTCCTGCCATCTCAATTTCAAAATCTGTCTAAGCCATCTGTTCATGAAGGTCATTAGATTATTAAAGTTATTAAATTAGCAAGACCACCAATTAAAATTTCGCTTTATAATTATTTATTTTTTAAATTACGAAAATCTACTCAGGCGCACGAAGTTCATTAATTGGGACAGCATCACATATGGGATAGAGAAAGTCTATCGTAGAAAACCTTATATAAAAAATATATAATTTTATAATAATTTAATATAATAATTATATAATAAACTTTTTTTTTGTTTCTATTCTCCCAGCCTGCCACCTATCAAGGAGTTACCGAGACCGGTGAATGGGTACTCAGAGTATCCCCCTGATGAGGTCGAGCCCTACATTCACGCACATTGGAGTCAAGAGGACTACGATGAAACAGATTCAGACTAGTAACACATCTGACACTAGTAAAATTTACTACATACAACAGATGGGTTTTCATGAGTGATTTTTAGGCTAAAAATAATTCATAATATAAACCTACACATTTTGATGCGAGATAGTTAGGCTCAATAAAAAAATAATGTACTGCGTAAACCACACACATTTGAATGTGTGATCTGTAGGTACAACAAATAATTTTCTAGCATACACATTTTGATATGTGATCTTTAGGCTCAGCAAAAACTTTACTTCATAAACCCCACAAATTTTGATGTGAGATCGTTAAGCTCAACAAAAAATTTAGTTCATAAACTAAAAACAATATTTGTGGTGTGATTTTTAAGCTCAACAAAAAATGTACCACATAAACATAATAAAATACATTGTGATGTGAGATCATTGGAACCAACACAAAATTTTTGTCGTGTGATTTTCAGGTTCAACAAAAGAGTTCACATCAAAAATCCACGTTTTTGTTGGTATGGTCTTCCAGTGGCGTAGCTAGGGGAGGGCGGGTGGGGCGGCCGCCCCGGGCGCCGATCCTAAGGTTGCGCAAAAATGGGTGGAAAAGAGTTTAAACGGTAATTTTAAGCTAGGATATTGAATTATACACAATCAAAGTTAATAAAGTAAACTGCTACATGGCTTTACACACAAACTTAACTGTTTCGACATCAAATGTAAGGGCCCAAAATAAAAAACCTTTACGGGACTGTTAAAAGTGCCACCAGCCTTTCCAAATGCGGGGGTGGGCCTTTTTAAAACCAGCGTGAAAAACTATGTAGTCTAATATAGGGAGGGAAGGGGGGATGTGATAGTTTGCCACGGGCTCCTGAATTTATTGCCATAACGGTGTATGTTTGTTTGGCTACTTACTTCAAGTTCTGTGTGCAGAGATGTTGCTTCTAGCTCACTAAATGGTTTTGTGATATCTTCTTTTTCTTAGTATATATATATATATATATATATATATGTCAACTACTGACAATAAAACACGCATAACTAAAGCCAAGCGAGATTTTTTGCAAAAAAAAAAAAAACTGGCTATCGAAGGAAGAGACCGAATGCAGATCTTTTTACCAAAATAATGTCCTATCTGTTCTTTTGTTTATCAATAAATGCAGGAAAGCAACCATCTCTTCCATCTACATATTGTTTGCTTTGTATAGTAAGTAGGCCTACCGGGCCGCCTACCGGGCCGCCTACCGGGCCGCCTATCGGGCCGCCTACCGGGCCGCCTACCGGGCTGCCTACCGGGCCGCCTACCAATGAATGATAAATGGCAACCACCGGCGCAAGACTATCTTTAATAATAGGCAGTTGCGTAGCCAGGATCGTCTCAAGGGGGGGGGGGGGGGGGTTCTAATTTTTACCCGGAGACAAACTTTCGATTTGCACCCCCCTTCAAACTTTCGATTTGCACCCCCTCAAACTTTCGGTTTGCACCCCACCTCAAACTTTCGATTTGCACCCCCCTTATACTTTTTATATATACCGAGGGGTCTATGGGGGGTTATGACCCCCCTTAACCCCCCCTGCCTACGCCACTGATAATAGGTTTCTAGAAACTAGGAGACTTAGAAATTGAAACTTTCTGAATTAACTGAAGAAAGATCGCGCTGGATGAGACCAGACGAGGTTACAGCAATGGCGTTCGATTGTCCAGCTCTAAGAGGACTATGAAGCTTGAGCAGAAACATCTTGACAGGAGCAGAGAAAGTTGCAAAAGACTGGCTTTCTCTGGTGGCCCCATTTACCCTGGGCATCGACGGTAAAAGACGATGATGATGAATTTAGATAAGTTACTATACTATGACCATTCTGATAAAAATCCTGCAAAAAATAATTTTAAAACATTTTTTTTTCGGTACACCAAAGACCCAAGTTGGTCGTCTTTGAATTAATATATCGAGTGTTGCTTTTCAATGTTTTAATTGCAACAAAAAAATTCAAACTTTTAAAACTACCTTTGGAAACTGCTGAAACTCACCTCCTAATTTTTATTTCTGTCTACGTTTAGCACAAAGTACGAACAATAAGATTTTTTGTTTTAATGCAAGCTTTTTTTGAACTTGTTTACTCTGTATGTCTGTATGGGTCGAAACGAGAAAGCGTCTGGAGACGGTTGCCCGCTAAGTCACCCACTTACTTAACAATTGGATCCGCCTATGTATGTCAAGCTTACATTAAAAAGATATTAATTGTAGTACGACACGTATCATTTATCGACCGGCTAGACATTTGTAATACTTGCTCATTTCGGAATGTTCTCGCTGTGGAATTTTAATTAACTGCTCAGTTGTTTTTAATAAAAATTTGTGGAATGTAGAATGTTCTATTCAATGTTATATCCTATATTACTTGTTACACAGAAGATTTATTAACTGTAATTTGCAAATAAGGAAGTGGACGGCCATTTTAGGTAGGTTATAATGTGTCGTAGTGGACGGCCATAATAGCCAGGTTCACTAGTGACGTAATAGACGGCCGTCATTGCTAGTTTTGACAGTGACGTAGTAGATGGCCGATATTTCTAGTTTAAAAAGTGCCAAAATGGACGGTCTTTACAACTAGGTTCACAGTAGGATTAGTGGAAGACCGTTATAGCTATTCTATCAAGTGACCAAGTGGGGGGGGGGGGGGGTGGGTCTGTTATAGCTATTCTATTAAGGGACCAAGTGGGGGGCTGTTATAGCTATTCTCAGATGATAAAATGGACGGCCGTTATAGTTATTTAACAAGTGCCGTAATATATGACTGCCATACGCAGGTTATCAAGTAAATAAAGACCAAACCATCTAACAATTCAGAGAAGTATTAAACAAGTGATTATTGAGTTTTGTAGTAATTAGTGTTGCTTGTAAATCTTTTAAAATAGATTTTGTTTTGTCAGATGCGCAATAACAGTAAAACGTCCATTTGTTCTAATAAATCATTATTAAGTTCATTCCAGTGCAGTATTTTTTTATCACATTTCAATAATTTTGTGCATTATCTCTGGTTGGCTTACAGCTACATTGCTAATGAGCAAGTGAGCATTAAATTTAAACCAGTTTATTGTTAGAAAGAATGTTATGTTAAGGTGTTCCTTTTGAATCCAGTCTGTGATATAAATTAAATAACCTGCATCCATGTATAATTAAAGCAATAGGATTTATAGTCTTATAGAGACTGAGCTTTCCGTACAACAAAATGTGTTTCCTGTCTAATCCATGTTTGATTAACTGCAGACGCAAATATTTTTCGGGGGAATAAAATATTCATACCTTATTCAACTGATACACGAGCAAACACCCCCCCCCCCCCCCACACACACACACAAACACCGCAATCACGCACCTACGCACTCAGACACACTTGCAATCAAACAGAAATACAAACGAACACATCCTCAGCCAGTGAGGGATTAAGGGGGGGGGGGGGGGGCTAGTAAAGCAGCAGCCTGGAGACCCCGATTATTTTTGGGTCTCACAATTTCTTTTACAGACTATAATAAATTAAATTTGTATAATGTATTATTTTTATACTTGTTCAATGGTCATGGAAAGCATTGTTTCTGCCAGACTTTTTCTCGGGGGGGGGGGCACTTGATATTTTCGGGGGGGGGGGGGGGGGGTCAACATTTACCGGGGAGGCGGACACTGGTAAAAGTATATATTTTCTAAATAAATTCCATTTCGTTCGGGGGGCGGGGGGTGGGGGTGGGTAGACTTTCTTCGGAAGAGCCCCCCCCCCCTCCCCAGTAGAGATGCCTTGAAGAAACTCGGAAAGATAAAAGCATTTTTTTTTAAATTAAAAACAAAAATCACCTAAAAAATCACAGAACATTTAAAAACAAACATGATTTAATTATTTTCTGCTTGCACATGGTTTACTTAAAGCGCAGGAGCCTAAACTAATATATGTTAATTATGACGTAGCAAGCTCACAAATTAATCTCCCTCAATAGTTAATCTAGCTTTAACGGCCATCCACTACCTCACTAATTAATATAGCCGTCCATTACTTCACATTTAGCTATAGATCCCGAGTGTTTTTTTTTTAAATAATGCATTTGAATTTCACATTGGCTTTGAATGTTAAAATGCATTTTATCGCTGCTGATTCTAATCAGAAAGTGATGGGCAGTGCCACTATAATTAAACTGCCGTTAACTTCCAGTTTGTTTCCTCTAGTCTGTTTCATTATACCATCAACCAGTCAATGAAATGCCCATGTCGTATTCCAATACGAACAATTATTGTTTCTGATAAGTTGCTATTGTATGTCACTTGTATGTCCTTATTCTAACAAACACATAATCCAACTATGTGCCATATCATAGCAGAGACGTTTCCAAAAATAGAATATATAGACTGGCCTAAGCGAATGAGCGCCTGCTTCAAAAGTCCCTCTAAACTCAGACTAGGCTTACTTTTTCTGACAATACTAATCTTTTTTCTGACAATACTAATCTTTTTTAAAAGGACTACGCATCTTAGTGAAATTTAATGGACGCGAGAAAAGTATTTGAGATGCCCATTAAATATTTAAAATAATAAATACATAAAAACGTTTATAATTACAAGCTTTTATAAATGCACTAAAAAAAGAAAATAATACAATGTTTATTAAATATATAAATCTGCGGTTACTTTAAATATATATAAAAAATACTTTCTTTTAATATATTAATGCACTAATATTTATATCACTATAAATAAAAGCGTGGGCCGTTTGTTTAAAAACTTATTATTATAGCGGCGGGGGCCACGCTTTTATTTATAGTGATACAACTGTAAAAGCATTTAATGTCTATATAAATTATACATTTTTCTATTTCGTCCGGGAGGGGGGGGGGGGGGGCTAAGGTAGGCGGTTGACGTACTCCATGCGTGTGTATGTAGGGGAGGGGAGGGAGTAGAGTGCATTGCCACCCCTCCCTACCATCAAAAAGACGCCTGAAATAAGCTCTGGGTGTCTATTGTCAAGAAATAAACATTTTCATTTATATTTTCAAAAGATTTCAGTGTTTTATAACATCCAAGCTGAATAGCACATAAG